CAGTATCACCGTCATCATCGTCATCACCACTGCCGCCACCATCAGCATCACCTTCATCACTACACCGTCAGCATCACCATAACTTTCATCATTATTGCTTCATTCGCAATCTGAATCAACAACCATTACTCTGAGTTGGAGGATATAGGAAAAGGCTTTTGTAAAGCAGACTTCAAACAAAAAAAATATACACTCGTAACAAATCAACCAGTGGACTTCTTAGAAGTAATTTCCAAATCAGTGCAGACTTTAAGCATCCTAACTCCTTTTTATTATGAAGATTCTGCAGGCTACTTATAGGAAGGGACAGGAACATGAGGCCTGGAAATGGCTCTAGGTAATGGGGAATACTTTGAAATAAATTGGTGCTAGGTTTGACATATTCTGAATTTTATCCGTTCACAGTGGAGGAGAGAAAAGTGAATCACCTGCAGAGAAAACAAATATAAATTTCCAGAGGATTTTTTCCTTTAAATGGTGCCACTCAGATGTGGTGCAATCCTGCCATGTTGTCGCAGGGCCTGTGAAGCCAAATCAAAAGAGGGGGTCAATTTTCACCTCTGTTAATACTCGTGCATCCATCATTGTTCTTTCTCTTCAGAAAATAGAGAATTTAAAGGTTATTAGAAAACTCTGCCATGTACTGTGCTGTCCAGGGAAAGCAGGCAGCCACTAAGGGGGAGAGAAATAAAACTGGCAGACGCAAGGAGGCCTGTGGAAGGAGGCAGAGTGTGTGATTACGTTGGAATAGCTCCTGCGGTGAGTTTCCTTTGCTCCCAGAGACCGTCCAAATTCCAACTGAAGTGAGATCAATTCCCAATTCATTTCTGTCTAAACCCAATCACATCTTATAAGCCTGGAGGGTCCCCAGTTTGTTTGAGGTTGAGATGAGCAGTGGCTTTGCTTGGGTGCAGGCAGACTGGGGAAGCGATGCCCGGAACTGACGCGCGGGGCCCGGGAAGAGTGAAAGGCTACCGCAAGGATGCAATCTGAGTTAGTTACTGTGTGTGGTTGTTTTAAAATATATCTGCAAATTTTTACCATTCTTCCAATCTAGAGGCGGGATCTATGTCCCCTCTCCCGGCTTGTGACTCTTCCAGCTGGTGGCACTTGTGCTATGTGACCTCCAAGGTGAGGTCAGAAAAGGTCATTCAGCTTCCACCTTGTTTGCTAGAACGCTTGCTCTTGGGATCCTGAGCCACCATGCGAGAAGGCTGAACCCCCGAGGCTGCCGTGCTGTGAGGAAGCCCAGGCCACGGGGAAGGCCACATTAGGCCCTCTGCTTGATAGTCCCAGGCGAGACTAACCTTTGAGCTTTTCCAAGCAGACATCAAACATGTGAAGTCTCGAGATGATTCCACCCCTCAGCAATTTGAATCACCCCCAGCACTTCCGCCCTTCCTAAAGGAGGCCGTCAAACACCGTGGAGCTGTGCCCTCCCTGAATTCCTGACCCGCTGAACCAGCGAGCAGAATCTACTGGTTGGTGTTTCATGTCACTGGGTTTTGAGGGGGTTTGCTGGGCAGTAAAAGAGACCTGGGACACGTGGGTGGCAACTGGGTCAGTCCCCCTAAGGCCCTCTCAGGAACCATGCAGAAGGTGCCTTCTCATTGTCTGCCAAGACCCTGAGGGTGGGATGTTTACCCGCTGACCCCAGGCTCGCTCCCATCCCAAGCTGGCACCAGTTGTATTTATTTTATCCTCTGCACGGACTTTTTCTCCAGATAGTTCGTGACTGGATGATTCGCCCCATCGGATCTTTGCACAGATATTGCCTCTCAGGGAGCCTTTTTCTGCCCGCCCTTGTGAAATCGCATCCCCGGCACTTCTCTCTCCTTCCTGCTTTGTGTATCTCCATGGCACCTAATGCCCTCCAACACTTTTTGTTTGGGTTGCTCCTTTCTTCCCCTAATTAGAGGATAAACTCCATGAGGGCAGTAATGTTTGTCTGCTTGCTCAGTGATTTATCTTTGGCTCCCAGAAAAATGCCTGGCATACAGTAAGCACTCCATAAAAATAGATTGAATGAAACAAACATGAAGTGAGATGGAGAATATTGGGGTGTGGGGTCTCCTTTGGAAAGCCTTGTCAGGAAAGGTCTGTTGGAAGAGATGACAATTAAGTTGGGCTCAGAAGGGTGAGAATGGGCTAGTTAGCAAAGGTGTGGAAGACAAGAGTATTCTAGATGGAAGGAACAGGCTGTGCAAAGGCCCTGAGGTGGAAAAGAACTTGTCACATGTGAAGAACTTAAAGAAGACCAATGTGGCTTGAGCTCTAGGAATGGGAGTTAGGAACCAGTGACACAAGATAAGACTGCAAAGATGGCAGGGGCCACATTGTGCAAAGCTTTGGGTCTATCCAAGATCCCTTAGAAACATACACTCATCTTTATCACTTAAATATTCAAATAACATTTCCTGATTATCTTTTTATAACTCATCAAATTATAACTATCAGGTTATAGATCTGTTTTTCCCACTATCCTGTGAGATCCTTGGGGACGGGAGACCATGCCCGATTCCTCTGCACCTCTCCAACACTGAACATATACCCAGCACCCACTCATCACCCAGCGCGCTTGGCTGAATTGTGGGTTCACTTGTGAAGCACCCCTCCCAAAGGAACGCTCCCGCTCTCCGTGGATTTGGGCTGTGCGAAGGAGCAGGGAGAAGATGAGGATGTGACAACAGTGGCAATGTGTTTGGAGGCTGCTGTGGCATCTGCTGTGTGCCTGCTCAGCATCTATCTCCTTTCTTCAAGTATCGGCCCCTCAGCTCTCTCTAGGGACCTGTGCCTCACCTGTCTTTCAGCAGGTGGCTCAGTGGCAGCTCTTTCCAAGGCCCTGGCCCTCCATAAGCAATAGAATTTCATGTGGCTCACACAAGGATTCTGAATTCTTTTTTTCCCCTGGCAAAACACCATGACCTCTTTATAGATCGTAAATGTTTTCCTGGAAAAATGCTGTAACCTCTTTCAAATATATGTTGTCAGGGCCTTTGCAAAAGCCTCTATGAAGATGCCAACCCGAGACTAGGAGGTCCCCCCTCCCCTCCCCTGCTCAGCCTGCTTCCCCGCGGACAGCCATGCCCCCCTCTCCAGGCAAACTGGAGGGGTCTTGGGCAGACTCAGGCTCAGAAGAAGGCATGAAGTTGCGCTCTATTGGGGAACTGCTGAGGGCTTTCCTCCTCCTTCCTGTAACACAGCTTTGACAAAGAGCCACGTCTCGCTTTAGAAGTCTGAGACTGGGGACTTTCTACAACAGCGTGAACCGCCAGTGTTCCATCCTCTTGGCCACTGAGAGTGGCTCAAGGACGGACGAGTCAGAGCGGATGAGACTCAATTCTTCCCTGAACACTGTGGGAGACTAAAGTCATGTTTCTGCTGGGGTTGCTGAGGTGTGAACCTGGAGCTGCCAGGAGCCAGGCCAGGAGGAGAGGCTGCCCACATGGGGCCAACAGAGAGGAAGGCAGAGCCAAGCATGGGGAGAGAGGCTGCCTGTCTCTGAGTGCTGGATTTAGCCGTACCTGAAGCTAGACCTAGATCTCGAGTTTTCAAAAGTTATAAGCTAGTAAATATCCATTTATTTGAGCCATTTGATTTGATTTCTTTCTCTTGTAATCTAGAGTCTTGATGAGTACGGAGACCAACCTAGAAAAGATCTGAGATGCCCTGAAAGAGGCTAGTGTGCTGTTTCAGGACTTTGGCTGCCAGACCTCGTAGAGGAGACCCTCTCTGATAAAATGTGTTATATATTGCCTTTTAATTTGGGCTGATTTAGGCTTTCATCTTACCTTTCTTCTTGCTTCTGCAGAACTCGGTTTGGGTCACGGCGTGCTGGGTGATCCCCTGACGCTGCGTAAATTGCACTGAGGCTGCCTGTGAGCATGGAGACGTCACAGGCTGAAGCCAGCTGAAATCGATTGCCTCTTTATCATTTATCTTTCCCTGAAAGGCAAAGAAAAAGAAACACAGCGTGTATGATTGTTCAAGTTTGGCAGAAAAGGATACGTAATTGAAATGAAGATCTTTGATTTTTTGGAAACTTCAAATGAATAGCGTGATCTGAACTTGCTTTTTTGTGCCTGCCCTTTTCCTTCACATTACGAGCTCCAAACGTTAGCTCTCGTTTAACTTTTTGTTCCTTCCTAAGTACTGGCTCTAATTCCTGGGTGGCCCCATTGTCTCCTAAAGACATTTGACTGTGATACATTCAAGGTCACTGACGATGTTTTAAATATTTTCGTAGACATTGCTTTGGTTCGGGCAAGATTTGGAATCCATAAATACATTCTTTGATGCACTCTCCTACTGTTTACATATTTCTATTAAAAACAGCGATTTTCCTTCTGCTTTAGAGCTATGTTCACGCCCTTATTTGCCTCATAGTTTGCTGTCACAACACAAAAACTTGTTTGAAAGGAAGAATAATTCATACCTGCGTCCTCAGTGGCCCCTGAATGAGTGCTTTCCATCAGTGGCTGTATCGGCTCTTAGCGGAGAAATCTGCTTTTAGCCAGAGGCACACAGTCCCTGCCGGACCTATCACTGTGTGTGTATTGTAGGAGAAACAAGGACCTTCAAACATTCCCATCTTCCCCATCAGTGGTTCCCATAAGCCGAAGTCACAAGGACCAGGCTTGTCTTGAGAGAAAGATAAGGCAGGGTTTTGGCAAAGAATGCAAAATCACTTTTTCACCGAAGCCGGAACGTGCCTTACAGTGAGGAATGGCGGCTCACTGCGTTGTGTAGTTGTGAGTGTGTAATAATAAAAGGAGCCCTACAGCATCCGTCCGTAAGGCACTTTTTAATTTATTTTTTTTGTCCTGGATGCACAATCACCCACAGCAAGAGGCGTGCCATTCTCACACGCGGGCCGACCTGCGCTCCTGGACGCGGTCGGGCGCGTCTCGAGGACCCGCCTGTGGCTGTGACGATGGAGGCACCGCCACGTGCAGCCGGCCTCTGCCTCTCGACGGGGAGGGGGCGGGTGGGGGCCGGCGGGGGCGGCGCAGGGTCTCCCCTGCGAGGCCAGGCGGAGGTTCGCGGCTCCAGGTGCCCGCTCTGCTCCTCCCAGAAGCTGGACTCACAGGAAACGGAGGCCCGGCCGCCCCGCGAGCCCTCTATTTACAGCCAGGTCGGTCCTCTCAAGGCCAAGGCCACCCGGGGACCAATCGTCTATTTGTCCCCAACATGGAACAGCCAGCTCCTTCCGGCTGCCTCCTTGGAGAAAGAGGGGCCGGGGGCGGGAGCGCTGGCGGCCCGTCCCTGCTCCCCAGGCCGCGTCCACGCGGGAAAGTGCTCCTGTCCCTGCGTGTCCTCCGCAGCCGGGCGGGGCCGGAGCGGCGCTGCCCCCGGGGTCTGGGGGGCGGCCGGCCGGGGCGGGCACTCCCGACGGCGCGGGGCCGCGGGGCTGTCGTGCTGGTGATGATGAAGCCGGGGGTCTGGGCCACCGACAGTCCCCGGCGCCCCAGGAGGCGGGGGGCGCGTGTGCCCGGCGCCCCATCGCGCAGCACGAGGGCTCAGAGACGCCCGCAGGCGAAGCGGCTGATGATGGGCCCGGGAGCACAGCGCGGAGCGGATCCAGGACCTCGGGTCTCATCTGGGTCCGACGTCCCCTCTCTCCTTCCTCTCCTTTCCCTCCCTCCGTCCCTTCCTCTCTTTTTTCTTTCCCTCGATTGCACTGGAAAATGCCTCCGTGTGCAGAATGAGGCGCCGAGTCCTCCGAGAAGTCGAACAGCCGGACCGATGAGAACGTGGCCCTGATTAAGCCCAGCATCTGATGTGACATTCTCTGTGGTTACGTTTACTTCCCGTTACTAGGGCTTGTGAAGGAGGCAGCGCTGAGAAGGCAGCCTTGGGAGGTCCAAGGCGTCTGGAAGATGCGTCAGGACGCGCCCCCTGCGCCTCCTCCCCGGGGTTTGGGGTCGCGAGGATGCTGCCGCCTGGGGCCCCTCCTGGTTACCGCCGTGAACCTGCCGGGCGCGGGGCCTCCTGCAGCCTCCGCGTCTGGCCCGTCTGTCCTCAGGCCGAGGCTGGGCCGTAGTGACCGGCTGGCGGTCCCTGCGCGTCCGGCCCTGCTCCGACGGCCCGAGGCGCGCCCGGCTGCTGGGCAGTCGGAGCCTCGCAGGCTCTGGGATCCGGGGCCTTCTCGACAAAGCCGCACGAGACCCGTGGCCCCTACTCAGAAAGCGGAGCCACCAAACGCCTGGTCACTCGTGCCAGTGACCCCCCCCCTCCACGGGCATCCTGGGGTCCCCCTCTTCTCCAGCCTACCTCGAAGACGCTAAATTCGAAACAGGCCTCCAGTCTGTCCATCTGTCCGCCCCCATCCCCTGCTCTCGCGAGCGGGCAGCTCAGTCCTTGCTCGGGTCACTGTGACAGCCCTGTGGGTTCTCCTGCCGACTGTCGTCTCCCCGCCTCGAAGTTTACTCTCCACACCCACCCTGAGGGAGAGGGAGCTCCAGAAAGTCAAATGAGCTCCTGTGGCCCTGAGTGTTTCAGTGGCTTCCCACTGCACCTGGGAGAAAGTGACCCCCAGCCCCCATCACATGGCGCAAGGCTCCCGGGATTCCTGCAGTTTCCCCCAAATTCTATCCCACCATTGTGCCATGCCATTCCAGACACTCTGGTCCCCCAGCTCTATCTCCAATACCCTGAGTTGTCCAGCCCCAGGGCCTTTGCACATGCTGCTCCCCCTCCTTCTGGAATGCTCTCCCCTCAGCTCTCCCCATGACCCGCTGAAAGGAGCTCAACACAAGGTTGACATAATGGAAGCCATATTGTAGAAGAGAGACCATGTTGTAACTTTGAATGACCTCTGACTAACTAACCCAGCTGGATTTGCACCCTCCAGGAGATCCACCTGTGCTGTAGACGTTATGACCCCTGCTAGAGCCTATACCTTGCAGCTGCAATAAGATGATAACTTTGTTCTTTTGAGTTCCTTTGGAATGTGATGACCCCCAAACAGACAGTCTATGCTGATAGCCATCATCAATGAAACTGAAAGACCTGGAGTGGCGACTTGCAGTCTGTAACAACTGAGGGTCAACATTCCTAACCCCTCCCCTATAACCCACTGCCCTATATAACTGCGTCAAGATTCTGTGCCCCCCTTACGATGGGTCTTTTGGACATTAGTCGGCCATCTGCCCTCTTGCTAGCGAGCTGTAATAAAATGCCCTTTCTCTGCACCATCTCACCTCTTGACGACTGGCTTTTGTCTCGGGGAGAGCAGATTGTGCTCTTTGTGCGGTCATACTGCCCCTCATGTCCTTCCATGCTCTGCTCAGGTGTCACCTGCTCAGAGGACAGCCCTGACCACCCGTCTAAAGAAGCTCTCGGCACCCACGTCGTGTCCCTATGTCCTGCACAGAACTTGTCCCCATGTGAAATTGATGTACTCATTTTATACCCTTCTGTTGTCATTTCCACCCACAGGAATGTCAACCACGTGAGAGAAGAAACTGTCTGTTCGCTGTGGATCCCTGCTCTGAGAACGGGGTCAGCCGCAGTGAGTTCTTGATTTGCGTTTGTTGAGTAATTGAAGGAACAAGAAGAATCATAAGATGGAATCCCAAGAATTCCAAAATAAGTATTTAAATCATAGAATGTTCGAGTCAGAAGGAGCCCTTGGAAACCATTCAGCCAAACCCATTCCTTTTGCAGATGGGTGAACTGAGACCCAGGAGGACAAAGTGCCTGCTCCACACCCCAAGCCGGGGGCCCTGCTCTGTGCGGGGGGGTTCTGCTTGCGTGGTTGTGGGGGCCACATGTGGCTGTGGGGCGCCATCTGTCCTTGACACATGGCTGAGGAAAATAGGGACAGAAGGCACAAATATGCCAAAAGATAAAAGACTAAAAGCTACACAGTTCAGAGGAGACAGAGCTGGAGGCTGGGTGCCCAGTGGCCTGGAAAGGCTCCCCGAGGACGAGGGGCCTGAATGGCTTGAGGAGCCGGTGGACCCCAACTTTGAGGGTCAACTCATGGGAGGGCCTTAGGCAGGAACAGGCTGAGGCAAATTCCTCAAGAAGGTAATTCAGGGACAGAAGCATCCGCTGGCTGCCTGTCACAGCCAGGGGCCTTTCACACGGAAATCAGATCACGTGTTCGCTGCCTGGAACATTCGCTGCTTCTGTGCTGAGGCACCTCAACAGACGACCACAAACCGGGTGGCTTCAGACAAGGGTGATTTGTCTCTCAAGTTCAGGAAACCGGAAGTCTGAAATCGGGGGCAGGGGCGGTCCCTCCTGGGGCTCCGAGGCAGCATCTGCTCCAGGCCCCCTCCAGCTGCTGGTGGGGACCGGCCTCCTTGGGGTCCCTTGGCTTGTAGGTGCATGGCTTCCATCTCTGCCTCACGGTCACACGACTTTCTCCATGTGTGTCTTCACACGGCTTCAGACAAGGACGCTAGTCATTGTATTTAGCGTCACCCGAACCCAGTACGACCTCATCTTAACTAATCACATCTGCAAAGACCCTCTTTCCAAAGAAAGTCACATTCTGAGGTTCCGGGAGGGGCAACGCTATTCAAGCCAGTGCAGCTTCCCATTCTGCCGGATTGAAAGCTGAGCCCTCTCCAGGCCTGTGGGGCAGAGCAGCCTGGTGCTTGAGACCAGGAGGCTGGAGCTGGCCTGCCCAGGTGAGCACCCAGCTCGGTCGTCACCCCCGTGTGCCTGATGGTGGGTCATGGCTCCCTGTTCTTTATTCCCCTTTTGCCACATGATGTCACGGGGCCTCCCAATGATGTAGGATGGCCAGGTGACCTGCTCTGCTCAATGGGGCACTCGTGGGCTTGACCACGCAGAGGCCCTAAGTGCACTTGTGGGATCTGGCTTGGTTCTTGGCTTCTGGAAGGTCCTGCCCCAAGGAGCTGCCCTCCTAGGGCTGATGAGAGCTTCGCAGGGCTGACCTGAGGCCGATCCCCAGCCTGCGGCCAAGCCCGGCAGCCCGGTGACCCTCCACAGAGTCACCCCATCGAGCCCAACTCAGATCAGCTGAACCCAGACGACCTGCCCTCCGCGAGCTGGGAAGTAAGTCACTGTGTTTGGATGGTTCGTTACAGATCAACACTGGGACAGTGGCTGAGGAAAACAGAAATGTGTTGCTGGGCATTCAGCTGCCCTCTCGGTTTCCCCATCTGTAAAATGGGGCTGAAAGCAGTACCAGCCTCCTCAGTTGTTGTGAGGGTGAAGCGAGATAATAAACGTAACGTGGCATGTGGTGAGTATCAGTGAGCGTCAGCGCCATGCTATCACCAGGCCCAGCACGACCCTGTCATCTCACGTCCCCTCGGTCACTTGGTTGAAGGCAAAGGCCTCCTCCTGTTTCTGGAAAACTCTCTGCCTTTGTGCTCTTCCCGATCTCCACGAGGGGGGGGGTCTCCTTGTCCTCTGAGCTCAGCTCCGATGACCCCTTCGCAGAAGCGCCCTCCCAAGAGCTCGGCTGCCCCTGAGGCCGCTGCCCGTCTGCTTGTTAGCGTCTGTCCACAGCCAGAGGGCAGGGACTCCTTCTCTTTTGTCCTCTGGAGCATCCCACAACTAGAACCAGCCGACACATAGTAGGTGCTCAATTAATACTGTGAACCTATTCTAAAGGGCAGACCAAGCCTTCTCTTCATGTGTACGTCCCCAGCAAATTGCGTCCAACGCCTTCCTTGCTCCATGTCTCTTCCAGGGGCGGAGACAAGAGCAGACGAGGTCCCTGCCCCACGGGCCTCCCACGTTGGCGGGAGAGAGACAGGAACGTGAAATCCAGCGGGGCCGCACGTGGCCGGTGGTGAAGGTCGCCAAGAGGGAAGCACAGCAGGATAGGGAGGCGGGGACAGGAGTGGTGCGGGCTCAACAGGCTGTTCAGGGAGGGACTCACTGAGACAGGGACATAGGGCAAGGGGCCTGAAGAAATAAGTGGGGCACGAGGGTTCTGCGGGGAGCGTTCAAGGCAGAGGGCACAGCCGGTACAAGGCCCGTGTGTGCGAGGAGCAGTGGGGGCCAGAGTGGCTGCAGGGAGGTGGGCGAGGGGGACTGTGGGAGCCAGGTCAGAGAGGTGACGGCACGGGATCCGTGTACGACCTTGAGGGCCAGTGAAAGGACGCTGGCGTTACCTGTGCATGTTGGAGCCCTCAGATGGGTCTGAACACAGGAGTGACGTGCTCTGAGTTCATTTTAGGTGACGCCTCAGGCTGTGTGCGGGGCCAGACTGTGGGGCGGAGGGCAGAAGCAGCTGGACCTGTGAGGAGGCCACCAGGGTGGGGGCAGGAAGGTGCAGGGCACGGTCATCAGTGCCAGCTCTGGGATTTGCACCTGAGGGTCGGCTGACGGGATCTGCTGATGGATGGGGCGGAGGCGGTAAGAGGGAAACAGACCGTCAAGGAGGACGCCAAGGGCTTTGGGCTGAGCGGCTGGAAGGACTGCGGTGCTCCTGAGTCAGGTGTGGGAGGTCTCAGGAGGAGCAGGCGGGAGCAGGGAGCGGCTGAGAGGCAGAGAGACCTTCCAGAAAGGTCTGGGGTCCTGAGCCAACTTGGCCCCCCCTCAAGAGCTTCCTTCATCTGAGCTGCAAGGATGACCACCTGTGTTGTCCCCGAGCGGGTGACGCCAGCCAGGCTCTGCACTTGTGTCTCCCTCCGAGAGACAAAGGTCAATGTCACAGCAGTCTGCTCTGATGCTGGCTTCAAGCCAAGGCCCTTAATGTTCAATGAGAAATCTGCATTGATGAAATTTTCATTAAAGAAACGTTATCCCTTTCCCTCGCCTTGTTATTCCGTGGCTGTGGGTATCAGGCTAATTTGGGTTTGATTACCCCGATGATCTGAAGATTGGAGCATTATTAAAAATTTAGATGAGCAATGATAGGTCTGCGCCTCCCTCTCCTCTCTCAGCCGGAGCACAGGGGCTCTGCTAACGATCACAACGAATTCGGGGCAGACATGGCAATTAGAGGAGTATCGATAGTTCGAGGGGGCTTCAACCCCTCTGCCTCCAACGGAAATCGGCTGGGTGGCTTCCAGGGCACTCAGATTTAATTGATAAAATGCAGCAAAAGAGAATTCCAGTCCTAGACCCAGTTGCAGTCTAATGAGCTGTATGCGTGCCTGAGCGGGTCCCCTCCCCTTCCTGTGCCTGAAACGTGCCCCACGTGTGGAGGAAGGAGCCTGCACCAGGCAGATGCCTAGAAACGGTGCCCGTGGGCTGCGGTCAGCTGCAGAGGGAATCTGTTGGCCAGCTGTTTTTTTATCTGTTTAATGAACACCTTCCTAGACTTATGATCTCGGGTTCTGTGTTTCCTGTCTATTAATTGTCTGATTCTCCCAACCACCATGAGAGACAGATGCTCTCATCATTCCCACCTCACGGATGGGGAAACTCTGACCAAGAGGGCTGACGTGGTTTACTCTGGGTCACCTGCCAGGCAGGAGCAAGGGCACGATTTGGACTTAGGTGGTCTGGCTTCAGAGCCCATGCTCTAAACGGTGTGCCTCTGTGCCAAAGTGTTGTTGTTATCATTATTTTTGGAAGCACAGTGTTTAAAAATATAATGTCAGAATTTTAAAAGTAGGTATTTTTATACAAAACCTAGCTAATACGTTAAAATAATTTTAAAATTGGTCAACTTTTCCACCTTGCAACAGCAGCTAGTGCCAATGTCCCTTAGGATGGCATGTTCTTCCCCTGGTGCCCCGCCAGCCCCAGAGTCTGCCTATCACCACAGCTGAGTGCCATTTGCCTTTGACCATTGAATTTACCCTTTTCAGGATGGTTGGACTGCTTCACTCTCTGACTTACTCACCTGGTACTGGTAGGCATTTGAATTTGCAACCTCTAAGCTAGATGCTCTCTTAGTCTTTGTTTATTTCTAGAATCTGCAATTTTTGGTTTCCTGAGAAACCAGCAACAAAAACAATTTGCCATTTGTCTAGTTAAGAGATACGGAAAATCTTTCCAACCCCAACTTTCTAGCCATTGATGTCTAGTTTGATATGCAAGATGGGACCTCTCTATATTTAGGTATGATGGAATAACTTTTATCAGACCAAGGGAACACCTGTCAAAGCTTAATAAACTGAAATTAAAGAAAAAAGAAAGGGAGAGAAAGAGAGAAAGAACAAAAGAAAGAAAGCAAAAATGGAGAAAGAAAGAAAAACAGTTTTTGAAGGCATCAGAGCAACCCAGGCTGGCAGGACTCAAGAGTCTGCACTTCCAGAGAGAAGGGAAATGCACTGTGCTGAGCCCCACATCCTCCACCCCTTTTCTCCTTGAACCAGTTGTCAATGTGTAAGTGGAGAGGGGCTGAGAAGGCAGAAAGTGACAATTCAGAGCTGTTTGCTAAGTTCACAGATCCGGAGAGACAAACATTGACATTCAAGGCTACCAAGAAAGCCAGCCTTTCAGGGCCCAAGACATCAGAGGAGGCAGACCCTCCCACCCTCAGCAGTGAGCCTGACTGTCTGCGGCACCTCCCCGCTTGAAGTGTTTGCTAATCCCTACACACAGAAGGAGACGCCCGGAGGCCAAGCTGCAGAGAAGCTGAGAAACTAAGCAGAGTTTTCACCAATATCACGTTGCCATAACAACCAACATTAGAGTTCAAGGCTCAAAAAAACAGAAGCCCTGAAAACATTCAGTCTTTCCCTTGAGACTCTCGAAGGACTTTCTCCAGGAGTGAGGTCAAACCAAAATAAACCAGGCCTTATTAAGACTGAAGAGCAGCCTTAAATGATCTCAATCCCAGATTTGATTAAGGAAATCTGGCCCACCATACTGGCTGCTGGGAGAATTTACTCTGTAGAAAAATATAACATCATCGAGGGGCCGGCCCTGTGGCCGAGTGGTTAAGGTCGCATCCTCCCGTTTGGTGGCCCAGGGTTGCACCGGTTTGGATCCTGGGTGTGGACCTAGCTCCACTCATCAGGCGATGTTGAGGTGGCATCCCACATGTCACAACTAGAAGGACCCACAACTAGAATATATAACTATGTACCGGGGGGCTTTGGGGAGAAGAAGAAAAAGAAAATAAAAGATTGGCAAGAGATGTTAGCTCAGGGCCTATCTTCCTCACCAAAAAGTATACCTTAAAAAAAAAAAAAAAGATATCATCGAGAGACACTAAATTTTCAAGTAAAATATCCAGCATTCAGAAAAAGTTACCAGATATCACAGGAGGAATGACCAAAACCAACACATGAAAAAACAGATGACAGAAAAAGACGCCCAGGTGACAAAGTGCTGAAATGATCAGAGACAAGCTTTGAAATAATTATTATCAATGTATTAACTACAAAGATGAGCAGCTGGAACATTTTGTCAGAGAAAGGCAATTTACAAAAAGAATCAGATGGATAGTCTCAAACTGAAAATAAAATGAGTAAATTTAAAAACACAGGAGATTGGCATATCAACAATTTAGACAAAGAAGGAAATAAGTTTGTTGAAAATGTCCATGATGAAGCACAGAATGAAAGCACTGAAAATGTGGAAAAGAGCATTAAGAATTTTGAATATTGGAGAAGGGTCTAAAACATGTGTAATTGAAATTTTAAAAATAGAGGAAAGAGAGGATGTTGCAGAAGCACTATATGCAGCGGTATTAGTTGAGGATTTTCCCAAATTGATGAAATACATCAAGTGGCAGATTCAAGAACTGCCAGCATGATGAAAATAAGGAATTACACACTTAATTACATTATAGTAAAACTGCCATGAACTGAAGACAAAAGGAAACCTTAAACACAGCCACAGAAAAACCATACATTTCCTCCAAAGGAGCAGCAGTAAGTGAACAGCTGACTTCCAAACGGGAACAACGGAGCCAGAAGAGAACGGAATGATTGACGTGCTGAAAGAAACAGCGGCCAATTCACAACTTTACACCCATCAAAAATATACTTTGAAAGTGAGCACGAAATAGAGGGGTTTCCAGAGAAGCAAAAATTGAGAGAATTTTTTGCCAGCAGATCTGCACTAAAATGAACACTGAAGGGAGTTATTTAGGCAGAAAGAATGTGATTCTAAATGAAAGTGAAGAAATGCACCAAAGAATAAAGAGCAATAAAAAGGGCAAAATGAGTAAATTTAATGAGTATGCAAAACAACAATAATAAATGTCTTGTGGGGTTGACAATACATGTAGAATTAAATTACATGACAAAGATGACACAAATATCCAGAAGGATGTTAAGTGATGCTACCGTGTTCTAAGGGTCTTCATTGTGCAGGAGGGGTGAAGTCCTCACTTAGGGCAGACTGTAATGGGTGGAGGGTCTATGTTCTAATCCCTGGCATATGTGTTAAAATAATAATGAAAGCAGCAAAACAAACAATCCAATTATGGCTTATAGAATGGAATAATAAAAATACTTGATAATACAAAATAAGGCAGGAAAGGGGAGGACAAGGGGACACAAATAGAAAACAAATAGTAAGAAAATAGACTTAAGTCACAGGAATAATCGCATTAAATATAAACAGATTAAATTCCAAACGAGAAGGACCCGTCTTATTTCTCACCTGCAGAGACACACGGGTCCGTCTCTCGCCTACTACAAGGGGTTTCGAAGGTGTACGTGCTTGTGAATCAGCTGTGGAGCTTAGCGAGGTGTCTGCCTCCCCGGGCCCGACTTCAGCATTTAGGGCTGGGATGTGAGAGGCTGCATGTTGAACAAGCCCCTGACCTGTCTTTGAGGGACAATAACGTATTATGTGGAAGGGGTGGGGACAGGAATGAGGATAAATTGGAAGCATAGAGATTAGCTCTCGTGGAGCTTAGTGCTTAGCAAGGGAAGGGCACAAACACACTAATAAGTGCCGTGCAGGAAACTGTAAAATGATTGTCTTCAGGGAGGACCTTTGCCCTGGTGTCGGGGCCTGGAGCCAGAGGGCGTCCCTCATCTGAACTACTCAGATCCCGGTGACTCGGGACGGCCCAGCTGTGGGCAGGATCCATGTACACTCAGGTGTTTATTTACTGGTGCAGCTCAGGCAAAGAAAGTTAAACCCTGCTGGAGCACAGCGGGGAGAGGAGCCAGCCACCGTGTGGGGACGGTGAGCCTCCACCTTGTCCAGGATGCCCGCTCCCTGCAGCCGGTCGTCTGTGCGCCGGCCAAGGCCTGCTGGACACGGACCACAGGTGGGGTGGAGCTGTGGGCTCAGGGCACCCGGCAGCTGCCTGTTCACCGGCTCCTGGTCTCCCTGGGGACCCGGGGGTCGGCAAGCGAAGGTGAAATAGGGATCTCATCCCGCATCAGGAGGGGGCACGCCAGCCCTGTGCTGCTGGGAAGCTCTTTCTGACAGCCCCTGGGGTGCTGGCTGTGGTTCAGGACCCACAAACGTGGACCTGAGAGGGGTCCCCTGAGGCAGAGGCCACGTGGGGTGGGGAGCGCAGGCCTGTCCTGCCTCAGCTGCCCAGGGGACCTGTCCAGGCCCGCG